ACGCGTCAAATTACCACGCGCCGAATTAGTTACGCGTCGAATTACTACGCGCCGAACTATCACGTATTGAATTACCACGCGTCGAATTACCACGCGCCAAATTACCACGCGCCAAATTAGTTACGCGTCAAATTACCACGCGTCGTATTACCACGCGCCAAATTAGATACGCGTCAAATTACCACGCGCCGAATTAGTTACGCGTCGTATTACCACGCGCCGAATTAGTTACGCGTCGAATTACTACGCGCCGAACTACCACGTATTGAATTACCACGCGCCAAATTAGTTAATACATTACATCTCCAAATAATAAATAATACCAATGTGCCATTAAAAATAATAATATGTGTTCCATAAGAGATTCCATGAGAAAATATTGCGGTATCGATAAATTTGGAAGATTCGCAGAACGGAGCGAATTCCTGAGAGTGGAATTACATTCCTAGAGTAACTCGATGCTATCGTCACACCTGTCGTTAAAGTCCCGCTAAGTTCCGCAATGCGGAGCAACGAACACGGCATATTTTTCGTACAGAGAAATTTCGAGTGCTCCATCGACCGTGATAATAATTTCACCGGTTCGAATTTTTCTCGTGAATTGAGGAAATAAAAAAGGATGTTGAAGATATTGGTTTAATTAAAGCGTATTAATCCGATGAGTTCGATAAGACTGATCGATTAACCGGTAAAATTATAGAGGAAACGTAAACGATTTTTAATAGAAAGTCGAATACTTCTACATCGCAAACAGACCAAGGAGTCTACTTAGATGAGTGTTTTTTTCGTATTCGTTTCATGTTCGCTTCACAAATGTTACGGGTGTTTGCATAGCATTTGAATATCATAAACGAGACACTTTCGTTTGTCGATTCGGACAGGATAATTGTGATGAATTGCGAGAGACTTTCTGTTGTGAGCATTTGAAACACTAGCTTGTAATTTGCTTTCTGTTGTCTCGTTTACATATTTCTATTATTAGACGCGGATGTTTATGCATTTATGATGTATGAGAGTATAAAGACACGAAAGATCTGTGTAAAAAATTGGTGCAAAGATATGAAGGTTAAAATAATTTTATCTTAAAAGAGAAAATATTGCATAAAGATATGTATCTGATCGTTTGCAATCTATCCAGTAAGTTACTGCGTATCATATACAATATTTGTTTAACTAAAAAATAGATTGATTGAACTAATTTTACAAAAATAATTTAATCCTAAAAATGATGAGAAGGTCACACACAATAAAATATCCACATTACAAAAAAGAAATAAATATTTATTTATACAAGTACAAAAATAACATAAAAAAAACATTATTGTACAATCCGACCCAATCGCAGAGTCGAGCAAATAAGTTAATTATAAATTAGTCGATAAATGGTATGTCGTTACACAGAAACATGTCGTCCGTTATGACGTATACGTACGTCCGTCTGTCGCGTCGATGGGAATGTCTCGTTCGTCCGTCAGTCATCAATTATAATAATATGGTAAGAAAAACAACTTTCACGTGGTGCAAAAATAACAAAACAATAATCTTAAACGGAAATGAATGAAAGAAGTCTACAGTAGACTCTTGTTATATTGACAACTGCCTGTGAAGCTGTATATCAATTTTGTACATGAAGATTCACGAAGATTACCGAACGTCGTCGTATCACGATTGGCACATTATTTATTATAATTATGACACGTTAGATTTACCGTATGGAGAAGTATGACACGTTAGAATGGCTATGTGGTGAATTATCACGCGTAAGATTCAATATGCCTACTATTTCTACGTGGTGAACTACCACGCGATAAATTCGATACGTGTTGGATTACCACGCGTTGAATTATGGTGCGTTGAGGTACCACGGATCGAATTACTACGCGCCGAGCTACCACGTATCGAATTACTACGCGTCGAATTACCATGTATCGAATTACCACGCATCGAATTACCATGCGTCGAACTACCACGCGTCGAATTACTACGCGTCGAATTACCACGCGTCGAATTACCATGCACCGAACTACCACGTATCGAATTACTACGCGTCGAATTACCATGTATCGAATTACCACGCATCGAATTACCATGCGTCGAACCCACACATCGAAATACCAGGTATCGAATTACTACGCGTCGAATTACCACGTATCGAATTACTACGCGCCGAACTACCACGCGTCGAATTACCACGCGCCAAATTACCACGCG